ATTTTATTTCCAAGTATTTGTTGAGAATTTTATGCCTGCTCCTTAAATAAACTGATCTGTAATCTTTGGCTTTTATATTGGAGTAACTCTAGCTTCATAAAATGGGTTGGGAGGTATCCTGGATTATTGTGAGGTTTTTGTTTTGTTTGTCTTTTTTGAGACAGGGTCTCCCTGTAGTTCCAGCTGACCTGAACTCACTATGTAGACCAGGCTGGCCTTGAACTCACAGAGATCCACCTGCCTCTGCCTCCCCAGTGCTGGGAGTAAAGGCATGCGCCACCACAACTGGCTTGTTTTTGTTTTTATGAGACAGGATTTTACTACAGAAGGCTAGGCTGGCCTCCAATTTACAGCCTCCCAAGTGCTGGGATTACAAGTAAGTGCAACCACTCCTCACTGTTGGTCACTTTCCTGTTTTATTGAGGAGATTGTTTATTTTTTCTTTGTTTAAGAGATTCTTAGTGAAACCATTTGAGCCTGGAAATTTGTTTTTTAAAAGGCTTTTGACTAGCTGGGTGTGGTGGTGCATGCCTTTACTCCCAGCACAGCACTCGGGAGGCAGAAGCAGGAGGATCTCTGTGAGTTCAAGGCCAGCCTGGTCTACGAAGTGAGTTCCAGGACAGCTGGGGCTACAGGGAGACCCTGTCTCAAAAAAAAAAAAAAGACCAAAAATAAATTTTTGACTATGAATTCAATTTCTGTAGAGGGTAAGTAACTATGATTTGGTCTATCTTTTCTAATGCTATTTGCCTGCTTATAGAGAATGTAGATTCTGCTGTAGTTTGGGTGGAGTGTTTTTATAAATTTCAAGTCTTTGGGTGAAGTGTTTTACAAATTTCAATTATATTTTATTGGATCAATGATGTTCTGTTTTGAGCCTTGGTGATTTATTTTTCTAGTGGTTGTTTCAGTTAATGAGAAATGCTGGTCTTGCACTATAGTTGTAAATTTGTTTTATTAATATTATTAATATGTTTATTGTGGATTTTATTTTAGGGTGTGGTTGCCTATCTTTCTGTCTGTCTACTTATACATATTTCTATTCACCTACCTACCTACCATCTACCTACCTACCTACTTACCTATCTATCCATCCATTCATCTATCTCTACACATGTACACATACACACATATGCTTTTGTTCCTCTGTGAAAAGTCTTGAGCATATGTCCATTTCAGGTAGTTAGTATGGAACTGACAATCTAGAAATAGTATTTTCCTAGTTTAAAAGATGTTTATATTTGAGGAGGCTGGAGAGATGATGGCTCAGCAGTTAAGAACACTGGCTGCTCTTGCAGAGGACCCGGGTTCGATTCTCAGCACCCACATGGCAGCTACGAACCATCCTTGGCTCCAGTTCCAGGGGAATCCAAAGCCCTCTTCTGACCTCCGTGGGCATTGTGCAACATGGGTGCACTGACATACATGCAGGCAATACAGTCATATACACATAAAATAAAAATAAATTTTAAAAAATTTGAATATATTTTGTGATTTTATGCACACACACACACACACACACACACACATACACATGTATTAGTGGCAGGTGATAGAGAGGTGACTCAGTGGTGGCTTAGAGGTGGCTAGGCGTATGCCCAGAGCATTTGCTACTCTTGCAGAAGACTGAAGTTCAGTTCCCAGCACCCATGTCAAGTTATTCACAACCATCTATAATTCCAGTTCCAGAGGTTCCTGTGCCCTCTCTGTCCTCTGTGGGCACCTGCATACACATGGCATGTACATACATACATACACACATACAAATACATATAAATAAAAGTAAAATTTTATAAAAAGTAGAGACAGAAAAGGTTTTATATATACATAATTTTGGTTAGACATTTCTGGTTAGATGGTAGAAAGTAAGACCTTTATTTTATTTATTTTTTAATATTTTTTATTTTTTTAGAAGAAGCGTATGATTATACCTTTAACATGCCCAATAACAGTTTCCAGAGCAAAGACACAACTCCTTCAAAAGTGGCTATAAAATCTCTAGGTTCGCTGTTGAATCAATACAGTTATATAATATTGAACGAACTCAGTATAAACCCTGTAAGACATAAAATTGAATGAGTTTCTAACCTTTAAAAAAGATCTCCATTTCATTTTAGAATATATTGTTCCTTACAGAAAGACTCATGGTTATTGCTACTAACACTGAGATGTTGGCGCATACGTCTCTAATCTGTATGTATCTGATTATTACTAGTCATAATCATTTGGACTCAGACCCTTGGCGCCTGTGTATGTCTATAAAGTCATCGGGTAGATTTCAATGGTAATTTTAAAGTAAAATTCAAAATTAAGAAAGTACCTTGTTTATCAGTCGCAATACATCATAAAAATATCATAAAATTTCTTCAATGTGTACCAGGATAGCATATGTTTTCCTCTAGATACTTAATCTTTGTTTTCAGTTTACTCAGGGAATCAGCTTGCTAGGAATCTGCAGATTAAACCATGGGTTTTCATTGAACACAGGACCATGTGGTTCAGAGCCTATAGGATGACTTTTTCCTGTTTGACCAGAATAAAAAGTTACAGGTGAGTTTACTTATTTTTCTGGTAAAGAGTTAAATAATTATGTGCAACAGTAGTTTACCACTGATTGTGATTAATAAACTTGTTCAGTATGTAATAGCTCATATGGTTTGATTAATTTTAAAGGTTAAAAACTCATTCAATTTTATGTCTTACGGCGCTTATATTGAGTTTAATATTGTATAACTGTATTACTTCAACAACGAACCTAGAAATTTTATAGCCACTTTTGAAAGAGCTGTGTCTTTGCTCTGGAAACATTTATTGAGCATAGGTAAAGCTGTCATGATATGTTTCTTCTAAAAAAAACAAAAAATAGTATTAAAAATTAAAAATTAAAAAAGTAGCTTTTGTTTATTTATTCTATTTTTTAAAAATATTCTATTTATTTATTTAATGTGTATGAGTGTTTTGCCTGCATGTAAGTGAACCTGTGTTATGCAGTACCACGGAGGCCAAAAGAGTGGATCAAAAACAATGTATAGGTTTGGAAAACTTTAATTTCACAGAAAAGTTGGTAGAAAAACAGTGTTAGCCATGTACATCTCCTATTCAAATTCAGAGATAGTCTTAATTTTACGAGAAGACTAGGCACATGGCTTCCTAGTACACCAGGCCACTTCCATCCTGGGTAGTATCATTTTTCTCTAATAAACTCCCTCATTTCTATCACTAATAATAATAATAATAACAACAACAACAACAATAATAATGCCAAGCATGGTATTACACACCTTTAAACCTTTGACTCAGGAGGCAGAGGCAGGTGGATCTCAGCGAGTTCAAGGCTAGACTGGGCTGCATATCAAGTTTCAGGCCAGCCAGGGGTACACAGTGTGACCCTGTCTCAGAAACAAAGGAAAAGGAAGAGAGGAGACTATATTTCTTGGAGAAGTGTCTTTGCTTCTCTGTAGTATCTTTATAATAGAACACAAACATAAGCTGGAGATGTATGTATTCTAGGTAGTAAGCTAGGAAGGAATTACATCTTTTTAATGTTTTTTAATCTATTATTTTTATGTGTATGAGTGTTGTGCCTGCATGTACGTAAGTGCACCCGTGTCATGCAATGCCCACGGAGGACAGAAGAGGCTGTCAGATCCCCTGGAACTGGAATTATAGACAGTTGTTAGCTGCCATGTGGGTGCTGGGATTCAAACCCAGGTCTTCTGCAAGAACAGTGTTCATAACCGCTGAGCCATCTCTCCAGCCCCTGATACTTACATATTTTTTAAAAATACTTTATTATTTTTAATTTATGTGTATGAGTGTATTGCCTGCATGTAGGTAGGTGCACTCATGCCGTGCAGTGCCCTTGGAGGTCAGAAGAGGGTGTTGGATCCCCAGGAACTGGAGTTATAGACAGTTGTTAGCTGCCATTTGAGTGCTGGGAATCAAGCCCAGGTCCTCTGCAAGAACAACCAGTGCTCTTAACCACTGAGCCATCTCTCTAGCCCTGCACTTGTATTTTATAAACTAGTCTCTAATCTTGTGAAAAATCCCTCAGATCATCAGTTAAGACTGTTTTCTAAGTGCATGCTCTTGCTTCTGTTAAATGAGCACCTTTAGGATTGTGTGTGTGTGTGTGTGTGTGTGTGTGTGTGTGTGTGTGTGTGTGTATGTAACTGTTCTTGGTTAACTGAACTACCTACTGTTATAAGTCAGTTCTAGATGACTGAAGTTTTTTCTTGATCATAGCAAAGGAAACTAATATTCCTAAAATATTAGAAAAAAGGTGATATTTTAATTAAAAATTTTTTAAATTATATTTATGGGGGCCAGGCAGACACACATGCCACAGTGCTCTTGTGGAAGTCAGAGGATAACTTGCAGGAGTTGATTCACTCCTTCCACCGTGTGGGTCTCTCAAATAGAGCTGAGGTTGTCAGGGTTGGTGACATGTCACTGAGCATCTCGGCAGTCCCTGATTCTTGAACTTTAAAAGAAAAAGAATGATGACATAGAATATCATTTGAATAGCAGTATTTTTTTCTCAGTTAACAACCTAATTATCTTTTAACCAAGCAGAACTTTGGAATATTTTCTACACTGTACATGCAGTTCAGTATAGTGTCTATCTAATTTTTGTTTTGCTCCAATTTTCATATGATTAAAAAATGACTTCAAATTATATACTTTTTCTGAGATTTTTCTGTTAAATTATCTATTTGTCAAATATCTTCTCAGAACGTATTCTGTTCTAGGAACTGTACTAATCACAAGGAATAAAATGGTATGTAGGTCAGTCCACACCTTGCCTTCATAGTGCATAATCTAGTGAATGACAGTCATAACCGAATGATTATACAGCTCCATGAAGAAGTACAGAGTGGTGTGGGAGTTAGAAGAGGAGAAGGATATGAGCATCAAAGAAGATTTTTGTAAATAATATTCTATTTAAACTAACATTTGAGGGTAAGAGGGACTTAGATATTTAGTGGAGGAAAGGAGCGAATGTGGGGAAAATGTACCAGACAGAAGAATCAGTATGTGCCAGATGTGTTAGGAAAGCACATGGCTATTTCAGAGAGCTAAAACAAACCATGTGGCCAGTGAGGAGGATGAGGAGAGAACAGGATGAGTTTAGAGAAGGAGCTTTATCAGTTATACCAAGGATTTTAGTCTTTTGTCTGATGACACTGGACACTTTGAAAGCATATTATATGAGAAAATAACATGATTAAATTTATATTTCACAATAATCTTTCCATACTTCATCAAGGAAAACAAATTGGGAGGTGCTGAGGTAGGGAGCTATGAAAATAATTAGAAGACTAAGATGAGAGTCAAGGAAGAGGTAATGGAGCCTGGACTGGGAAGGTAGAGCCACTTGTGCTCAAATCTTAGCAACCATTTACTTGATCTCTCTGAACTTTTCTTATCTGTAAAATAAAGATGATGATAGAGTTATCTGAGGGTGACATGGGCAGAGTTCTGGCACCTGGTACTTAGGAAGTACTCATAAATGATAGCTACAATAATTACAATAATTAGTACTAATTAATAATTAATAATAATAGATGTGACCCAGAAGGACAAATTTTGTAAAGCTCCACCTTTATTTGTTCTTCTGTGAAAATATATCAGTCCTGTGTTTATGTGAAAACTCTATCTTAATGCACCAAAATTGAGCCATCTGTATATTTATATTTACCTACACATTTAGAATCTAATAAATTATTAATAATATCTTTATGTACAGTGTATTCCAGTTCACATTTTTTATAATCTCAGTATTTGCCTGGTTCTCTGTTTTCCCTCCTAGGTCCTCCTGGAAAAGACTATGTAGTACTTCACAAACAACTGTTGACAGCAATGAGGTAAAAACTTTCCTGGCCCTAGCTCACAAGTGGTGGGATGAACAAGGAGTATTTGCACCTCTTCATTCTATGAATGACCTCAGGGTGCCTTTTATTAGGTAACATTCCACGAACTCTTAAGTCTTTAAAAATGCATCTTTCAAATTTAAACTTTCATTTTTTGTATTCACTTTTGCTTATATTTAGGATCAAAATTCCACGTTGCTGCTTTCATAACTTAACTAGAAGCATTTTTGGCTTATCAGGTTAATTAAAATTCCATCCTTATGAAAGGAAACTTAAATCTTATGTCTTTGGGACCATTTTATAGCTAATGACCTGCAGTGCCCTGAGTGATCTTTATGCAGTCCTAGTAAAGGGAATACTTCAGAGACAGATTGATTCAACAAGTATTTTTTTTTAAAGCCTACCTTGTACCTCTGAGGCCTGACTTTGAAGCTACTTAGATGAATGGGCCATGGGCCATGTGTTTCAGTGGGAGATAAAGAAAGGCAAGAGTTCATTAGGGCTTGCCTTTCATACAGTTTGTTTCAGCACATTTTCAGGTGATTCACATGCTAAGTTTGAGAATTGTATTCAGACTACTATGACATTCTTATTTAGATATTACAAAATAGATCATGTAATTCTGTGCAAGCATGACTACAGATTTAGGTTTTATTTTCCTCATAAGGCATCAGGAACAAATAATATGGTCTAAAATTATATGGAAGTCATTTTTTGGCTATTTGAAGAAAGGACTGGACTTCATTTGAAATGGATCATTTCTGCGTATTATAACATCACAAAGTGATCTATTTAGCTAATGTCTGGGTTAGTCTAATTTTACTAGCAATGTTAGATATCCTAAGATGTTCATTATATATGTTTAATGTAAATGTAATTAAATTCATATGTAGTTCAATTTAAAGCTGAATTTACAATACTACTAGGTGTGTATCAACTTGTGTATGTGCATGTGCACATCTGTGTGTATGCGTGCTAAAATATTACTACTATTCTCCTGGAAATAAACTTACATTATTTGGATTGTTTGCTTATTCATACATGAAAAAACCCACTAATTAGAAGATTAAAAGAGATGTAATAAAGAAGGAAATATAGACAACTTCTGTAAATACAGATCTCCCTTCTGCATCTCCCATCCACCTGTAAAATAATGTATGAAGTTGGTCTAGAAACTGACAACATAGGCAATATGGTTCATATATTTTTTTTATTTAAAAAATCTATTTTTATTTTTATGTGTATGAGTGTTATGCCTACATGTATGTAAGTGCACCCATGTTATTCAGTACCCATGGAAGCCAGAAGAGGGTGTTGAATTCCCTGAAACTGGAGTTATGTATGGTTGTTAGCTGCCGTGTGGGTGTTGGGAATGGAACCTGGGTCTTTAGCCACAGAGGTTTTATATTTCTACCTCATACTGCTAAGAAAAGTTTATTCAACAAGTACTTAATTAGGTTCATCTAAACTAGATTTGTTTGGAAATTTTCTTTAGATTATTACTAAAGCAATAATTACTGCTGTGTTATTTCAGAACTTTTAATTATTGAAAATGTACAAATTAAATGCCATTTAATTCTTAAAATAAAAGATATATTTATATAAAAATTTCAATAGTTTATTTAAAATGAGGATTAAGAGCAGGCATGGTGTTATACCGCTGTTATCACAGAGCTCAGGAGGCTGAGGAAGGAGGACTAGAAGTTCAAGGCCATCTGAGCCAAATAACCCCCAAGTCTCAAAATAAAACAAAACAAGATAGGTAAATATATGAATTAAGTCAAATGGAGGATTAATTTCATTTAAAAATGTATATTTTAAGACCTTTCACTTATTAAATTAGTCATCTGTTTTTATATTTTTGATGTATTTTTAAGAGACAATCTTTTAAAAACAAGTGCTAATCACCAACTAGGAAAGCCTTTGTCTGGGATGAAGATTCTTGATGTTGGCTGTGGTGGTGGATTATTAACAGAAGTAAGTGTCTTACAACATTTTTGCCATTTTTTTAAATTGAGAATTTCATACATGTGTATGATGTGTTTTGATAAAATTTTTACCACTTTAAAAAATATTTTATTTTATGTATATGCGTATATTACCTGCATGTGTATAAGTGCATCAGTGTCATGGAATGCCCAGGGAGGTCAGAAAACATTACTGGATCACCTAGAACTGAAGTTACCAACTAGAACTGGAGTTGCCACCCAGAACTGGAGTTACAGATGGTTGTTAGCCACCATGTTGGTGCTGGGAATTGAGCCCAGGTCCTCTACAAGAGCAGCCGGTGCACTTAACTGCTGAGCCATCTCTCCAATCCCAATTTTTACCATTTTTAACTGAGGGAGGAATTGAGAAGTAGCCTTATGTTTCATTTATCTTTTTAGGAAACAATATTATGTTTTTAAAGGGTTTGGTGGGGGGAATTGTTTGAGGGTTTTGGGTTTTTTTTTTTTTAGACAGGTCTCCTTGTAGCCCCAGGTGGCCTGAAACTTGCTTATAGCCCAGGCTGGCCTTGCTCTCACAGAGCAGAGGTCTGCTTGCCTCTGCCTCCCAATTGCTGGGATTAAAGGCTTGTGCCACCAGTCCTGGTTCATTTATCCTTTTAGCAAATACTATTACTTATGTTTTTAATAAATAGTAATAATTTTAATCTTTATGATTATAAAAGTAATGTTAAGATTTTAAAAAACCAAGAATTTTCAGAAAACTATACTGGTTTTTTTAGATTTTGTTTTTAATAAACAAAGAATGAGCATAAGTCATTCAAATAGCTTTCTGTCCTAAGAAATTTGGCAGTTTCTATCAGATTAAATTCAGTTTTGAACTTTTGCACTTGTTATGATGACAAAACCTGCTTAGTGTTTTGCTTGCTTCTTAGGTGCTCTACAATACTGAGAAGTATCCTTCTTCCTCTGAAGACTGCTTTAGTGCAGTAAATTTATGCCTTCCAGACTTATTTTATGTTCTTATATCAATATAGGAAGCTTTTGTTACAAAGATGCATCATAATTTAATCCCTGTGGGTATTTTCATTAATTGTCTTGGGTTCAAAGTACTCAGGTTTGCTGGCGTTTAGTACTTTCCAAGTTCCTAATTCAGCTAAGTTGAGGGTGGGTAGAGGCTCATTTGGACACGTTTAAGTCCCCACATGTACAGAAAATGCATTCTTCACCTGGCAGTGGACCGTTTTCTTTTGGCTTCAAATATAAAATTCGATGACACCTAAAATATGTGAAAATGAATGTGTGGCATATAAGTTACAAATGAATAAGATATTACCATAGTGTTTCTACAGTGTGTTCAGAGTGTCACTGCAGATCTGGCTCTAGAGGTAAAACAATGTGACTTGTACTTTTAATACATTTATTTCATACAAATATTCTGTAGGTTTTGATTAGAATTCTCTATTTAAATACTTGGGGATGTCATGGGAAGTGTCCAAATATAAAAGCTATATGAAAGTGAGTTGGCTAGTGTGGTAGTGGCACACACCTTTAATCCAACCAGCACTTGGGAGGCAAAGAGAGCATATCTCTGTGAGTTTGAGGCTAGCCTGGTCTACATAGTGAGTTGCAGGCCAGCTAGAGCTACATAAGGAAACCCTGTCTCAAAAAAAAAAAAAAAAAAGTATGAAGAATTATTTCTAGGTGTGTGGTGGGGGGCCTGGGTGAATGAATCTCAGTGGTAGAGCGAGTGCTTAGCATGCAAGAGACTCAGTGTGATCCCTGGTATCAGATAATTCAGGGGCGGAGGTACAGGAAAAAAACACAAACAAGCAAACAAAAAACTATTGAGATATAATTATGCATTAGAAAGTTTGAATTTTTCAAGAATGAAAATAAAAGCCTGGTTTATTTCATGGTTTGCTACATTTATTTCACCATATATAGGATAAAACTGTGTTACATGTAAATGTACATTTTGTTGTTTTGATTGTGGAAAATTTCAAATGTATACAAACTAGAGGAAATGATATATAAATTCTTGTTACCCATAAATGATCTCCAGTAATTATCACCTATGGTTAATTTGGTTTCATTTTGGATAAACTTTTTATTGCTAACATATGTTCTGTTTTCTTTTTGAGAGTAATGATTTTTTTTATGCCCTTAGCCTCTAGGGCGACTGGGGGCTTCAGTTATTGGAATTGATCCTGTGGATGAAAATATTAAGATAGCACAGCACCATAAATCATTTGATCCAGGCCTGCGTAAGAGAATAGAATACAGAGCATGTTCCCTAGAAGAGATTGTGGAAGAGACTGCAGAAACTTTTGATGCTGTTGTTGCTTCTGAAGTTGTAGAGCATGTAATCGACATAGAAGCATTCATGCAGTGCTGCTATCGAGTATTAAAAGTAAGACAGAGTGTGTTTTTTTCTTCTGAGTGTATGTATACATAGTAAATAAAATGTGTCATGGTGCTTTAGCAGTTCAGCAAGCAAGACAGGAGAGAACTGAGAAGTAAGGATCAAGGACTGGCATCTCTGCTGGAGATTACTTCTGCCCCTCTGTTGCCCTCAATAACAGGGTTGTTTTTATTAATTGCATTTTTATGTATTTCATACATAAAATCATCTCTATACCCCCTTTCCCCTGTCTCTTTGGCACCTCCCATAGCCCCCACTTGAGTTCATTCTGTCATTTGTATCAAGGCCTATTATATAAAGTTAGTGTCCTGAGCTGTCCCTCAGTGCAAGTTCATCCACCAAGGTTTAGTCAGCCTATCTACAGTCTCTCCCTTTGAGAAGATCAGCTTTTCCTCACCCAGCAGTAGTCAGCTGCCAATAATTCTTTGACTAAGATTGGGGCCTGCTGTTCATTTCCAAGTACTGTGCTGGGTTTTTGTGTGCCTAAGTTTGCTTGGGTCTTGTGCATGATGACACCACTGCTGTAGGTTTGTATGAGAAGGGTCCCAGGTGTCTATAGGACCATTTTGGTGTGCTCATGCACCTCCTCCCTGACTCTTATATAATCTTTCCACCCCCTCTTAAAGCAGGGTTTTTAAATATGTCCAATTAGTGTCTTGATATTCAGAGATCTTAAAACTTGTTGGTGCTGAAACCTGGAAAACAATTGATGACACCACTGCTGTAGGTTTGTATGAGAAGGGTCCCAGGTGTCTATAGGACCATTTTGGTGTGCTCATGCACCTCCTCCCTGACTCTTATATAATCTTTCCACCCCCTCTTAAAGCAGGGTTTTTAAATATGTCCAATTAGTGTCTTGATATTCAGAGATCTTAAAACTTGTTGGTGCTGAAACCTGGAAAACAATACCTGTAGCATGGTATTTTCCCATTTATACAGTCTAAAAATTTTTTGTTTTATGTGTATGAGTATACTGCCTGCATGTAGGTAAGTGCACCCATGTCATGCAATGTCCGCAGAGGACAGAAGAGGCCATCGGATACTCTGGAACTGGAGTTATGGACACTTATCAGCTGCCATGTGGGTGCTGGGATTCAAACCCGGGTCTTCTGCAAGAACATTCAGTGTTCTTAACCACTGAGCCATCTCTCCAGCCCCCTGGAATAAATTCCTAATAGACATTTATGACAATTATCAAGAAATTAATTTGAATTGATACTTAAAATCAATAAAACAAGCTAAGACTCAGGGAGTGCTATACAGAGTTTTTCAATGTAATCATACTATTTTTAAAAAAGCA